ATGGTTCCTTGTTTTCCTTGTTAATTTGTTGTTTTTTATTTGACCATGCTGTTAATTGCATTTAATTTTTGCTCATGTTTATGTTTTTTGAATCTATTTTTTAAACTTGAAATTTTTCAATATTTTAGCCCACGTTAGTTTACTTTAATTTGACTAGCATTATATTTAATTAAATGTTTTTATATGTAATGTGATTTAAACAACGAGTTAAATGAGTAATTATTTAATAGTTTAGTCAAATTATTGTAAAACTTTTTAAAAATACTTGATCCAAAACTTTTACATTTCGTGTGAATTATTGTTACAATACTTGTAGTCAACGCCCAGTTATTATCAATTATTTACTGGCGATCAATCAATTGTGTAATAAATTGTTGCCAAAATAGTTATCACGTTTTTAATCATGAAAATAAATGATAAATTGTATTAATATTTTTATGGCTTAAATCAAGGCCTGGATTACCGATGATATCAATATCAATAACTTTGCCGTACATTCAAACCTAATCGCGTCGAGCGCTTCATTAATCGCCTATAATCGAGACGGTATTGTATTTGTAATATTCGTTTTAACTAGATTTTAAATGATAAATATACGCTTATTTTGCTCGCAAATGATGGTAAATGTAATGACAATTATTATATGATTTATTTGTCAGACGGAAACATCGGAGTGGCAAATGTGAACGATGTTCAGAGCAAACCATCGGTGCTCACAGCACACGGAAGTATGTATTTTGTCATTATTTATCACTTATTTATTATAAATACTGTTTTATACCAATTATGTATACAATCAGTGATATATAGTATTTCCTGTGAATTCCTATCACTTCTTCACTGCCAGTGAATGCAGTCATCGATTAATATAAGCGAAACACTTGTCACGAGTGGAGACTTTTTTGTAAAAATTAAAACTTGTTTTCTGTTGAGAGGATTACTGAATATTTTTTATTATATTTGTTTTTCTGTAATTTTTATTTATCATATTATGAGATAATAATTAGATAATTATTCACACAAAATATATAATTACTACTACTATATTACTAAACAATAATTAGAATCTAATCATTAGATGATTTCTACAAATCAAGTGTTTTGGCACTAATTTCAGTCACGTTTTATACAGAATTAAAATTGTTTTTCTCACTTCAAATCAAAGCAAACTTTATTTGAATCTCTGTCAACAAAAGCTGTTTTACACAGAAATCAATATTAAAAATATAATTCACAATTAAATCTAAAAATGTTTGTAAAAAAGTTAGACTTTTAATGCTATTTTGATACAATTTAAATGCAGTCAATATAAGAGTTTAAATGTGGTTATAATCAATCATTTAATGGATATGTTTTTCAATTTACAGGCGATTTAACTGATTTACACTTCTCGCCCTTCGATGACGGCATTCTGGCCACGTCTTCGGGCTCCGGACAGATCCATATCTGGCAGTTCCCAGAAGTGAGTCCAACGATTGTCACCCCAAAGAATGCCATTCAATCATTCCGTGACGAAGAAGGGGTCGATTTGATTCAATTCCACTCAACCGTAGAGAACATACTGGCCGTCGGCACCGCAACTCAGCTCAAGCTCTGGGACACAACCAAAGGCCAGCCGTTTATCGAGTCGACCAAATGCTCGCGAATTCAGAGCATTGACTGCAGTTATGACGGAAAGCTGTACGCCTTGAGCGACGGCGGCGACAGTCGTCGCGTCAAGATATGGGACCCGAGAGTCGACGGCTCGCAGGCGTTCGCCGTGGAGTTCAAGGGTCACGACAACGATCGGGACTCGCGTGTGATTTGGTTGGGCGACCGGCCGTACGTCGTGTCATGCGGTTTCAACCGGCGTAAGGCCAGAGAGGCGTTCCTGTGGGACACTCGCGCCTCCCAGAAGCCGGTGTCGGCTATGAACGAGTTCGAGCCGTCAGCCGGTGTTTGGATTCCGTTATTTGATTTCGACACTCAAATGCTGTTCATCGCCGGTCGCAACGATTCAGCCCTCAGTCACTACGAGGTTAACGATCTGATCGCCGGCACCGTTCAGTTGGACCCCAATATTGCCACCAAGAAGTCAATCGATTTGCAGATCAAAGGGGCGACTGTTGTGCCGAAACGGGCGCTAAACATAATGCAGACCGAAGTGAACCGCATTGTAC